ATTTTGGCAAGGTCAGATTCCTCAGTTTCACCCAAATTAAAAAAAGCTCTCTTGGATTGAATCTAATGAAGCTTCCTGGCGCTGACAAGTCACCAGATGAGACTGGTATGAACAGCTTCTCTAGTAGAGGCATCTGCCAATTGACTCGAGACAACAGCAATATGGCTTGAAACCTAGCTACACTTGAATGTCTTATCTGAGAAAGATGAGAGAGATAACGGCACTGCGAGGGTCAAATATAATAACAAATGAAAATTGTACATAAAGTAATAAATTTAAAGAGCGTGCAAATTTGGCATAAGGATCCCAAGTGAAAATGCTCGCTCATAAAGGCTCATAACCCCCTCCACTCCACGGCTCATAACCCCCTCCACTCCACGGCTCATAACCCCCTCCACTCCACAACTGTTATGAAATGCCTTTTTCTTGCGCATTTTCATTGTGATTTACATGCTACTGCTCTGTTCACATGTGGGTCTTGGTCTGCCGACAGTGTTGGTTACTTCAGTTTTCCCCGATTGAACATGTATGTCTTATGTCATATATAGGTTTGATCAGGAAAAACGAAATAGCCAACAACATTTCATGACAATAGAGGGATGGAGAGGCAGAGGTTTTAAGCCTTCACTGTGCAGGGTCAAGGCTTCGTAACATTTTCCAAGGAAGGTCTTCCACGAGGCCAAAGTGGGAACACTACAAGGGGGGACACTGAATGGCAACCAAGAGAATCCTGCAGACAGGCCATGCATCCTTACATCTAAAGACAGGAATAGAGATTAGAGCCAAGAAAATGGGCAGTAGTCAAGGTACAACATGAGCTGGAACTGGGATGGTGGAAAGATCATGCAACATGTCCAAAGTAATAACAATTGTGCTGATCTTGTCATCGTTATTACGTTACTTTTTGTAATTAAAAAAAGCAGCATCCACGTATCTCTCCCCTAGGAAGTATGGGATAAAATTTTGAGCAGAGGAGGGGCCTTGGAGCATTCAATTAGGAGACAAGTGACGTGGGACGACCAAAATAAATGGGCGTCAAAGATCAATTCCAAGCGGTTAGCACTATCCTTATAACACAAGTTGATTACCATAGAGTGACAAGAATGGATGGGGAAATGGTATGTTTCCTAATAAAAGTCATAGCACCAGTCTTCATCTTAAGAGAACTTTCAGCCACGACTGGTAGTCCAGGATGACACTATACAAGCTGAAAGCAGCACTGGATTAGGGTAAGAGTATCACTGCAGCAGCAGATCGTGAGATTGTCCACATAATGCCCCGAGAATAATACTCCAGGGGAAAGAGAAGAGGAGAGATCATTAAAGGCAATTAGGAATAGAGCAGTGCTTAAGCAGCTCAATACCAGGGTTAAAAACACTTCTTGGGGAACAGCCTCATATTGTAGTGGCAGAGAAAGATGTTCCGAGTTGTACCTCAAACGCATCACCGTAGCTTTGAAGTAAAAGTCGTAAACTGCCTTGAACGCCAAAAGAATGCAAATGGACTAAAATATTATACCCGTGTTCTTCAAGGCAACTAACACACAGTGAACACAATTTTAACTCAATGGAATGAATGTCCTCACTGTGTGGGAGGCATAGTGAGGGACAAAGTAAAGGACGACATTCAGTAGCTCGGGTGAAAATGAATAATGGTGCAAAAACAAGAAGATTGGACATGTGGGGAATAGCAGCATGGAGTGAAGAGGTTCCAGTCAGCCACCAGTGTGAGGGGAGAGAGGATGGGAAAATGGTCACTTATACAGGATGACAAAGACCTGCACATCCAGGTATGGAAGAGGATCAGTGTGAATGATCTACACTAGAAGATGGAGACGCGACGACGATTCGTTGCTTCCACATTACTTGATAATGGTACAGGACAGACCGAAACGTATTTCGCTTTTCCATCTTTGGAGTTGTGGTTTGGTCATCATTTCTTCAGCCACATTATTGTGACTCATTGTCTGCATCTATACCAGAAGGAGTGCAAGTGTACAAGCTGACAAGTCAACTTGCCCAAATTCACAAAAGATGAGGATAAGGAGAGGACAAAGTTCTCTTAAAAAAAAAAAAAAAAAAAAAAAAAAACTTAGGTACTTGTAAGAGTTTCGTCCTCAAAGGGCATGTCAACACTTAGAAATCGCCCAAAATGAACGAGGGGCTCCAGTAAAAGGAACAACAGGGGCTCAAGATGAAATAGAAATAAAAAATGCAGAGGAAGATCAAGAGGCAGCATATGATTTACCCATGAATATATGAGCAGCAGTGGTAATTATTAGCAGCTAAGCCTTTATCATTAAATACAACCAATCAAGTCACCAGTAAAAAGTATATTATGTATACTATGTATACTATTATGTATATTAACAAAGATGCCATTATGAGAGCAGGACAAACCTGTATGAATTAAGAGAAATCTGAGTCACTATTTAAGGAGAGTGATGCAATACAAATATGAAAACCAAGGTACCAAATGATCAGGGGTATAAATGAGTGAAACAAAATAAGATAAAATGATCAGGGGTATAAATGACTGAAACAAAATAAGATACCAAATGATCAGGGGTATAAATGACTGAACAAAATAAGATACAAATCAGGGGTATAAATGAGTGAAACAAAATAATTTTTGACAACAAAATGCAAATTTTTGTTAATTCAATGGCCATGAACAAGCCTAGTATGACTAATACTAAGCTAAGACAGTTTCCAATCTTCTGTTCCGATGATGCAAAGGACAATGGGAAGAATAACGAGTCAATGCAAAGAAAAGTCTGTACCCCAGGGCAGTCAACACTGCTCTGTAATACAGTCCTTGCAACACTACCCCAGGGCACAGTCCTTGCAAGCTCTGTACCCCAGGGCACAGTCCTTGCAACACTGCTCTGTACCCCAGGGTACAGTCCTTGCAACTCTGCTCTGTACCCCAGGGTACAGTCCTTGCAACACTGCTCAGTACCCCAGGGCACAGTCCTTGCAACACTGCTCAGTACCCCAGGGTACAGTCCTTGCAACACTGCTTTGTACCCCAGGGCACAGTCCTTGCAACACTGCTCTGTACCCCAGGGCACAGTCCTTGCAACACTGCTCAGTACCCCAGGGTACAGTCCTTGCAACACTGCTCAGTACCCCAGGGTACAGTCCTTGCAACACTGCTCAGTACCCCAGGGTACAGTCCTTGCAACACTGCTCAGTACCCCAGGGTACAGTCCTTGCAACACTGATCAGTACCCCAGGGTACAGTCCTTGCAACACTGCTCAGTACCCCAGGGTACAGTCCTTGCAACACTGCTCAGTACCCCAGGGCACAGTCCTTGCAACACTGCTCAGTACCCCAGGGTACAGTCCTTGCAACACTGCTCAGTACCCCAGGGTACAGTCCTTGCAACACTGCTCTGTACCCCAGGGTACAGTCCTTGCAACTCTGCTCTTTCTCATTCTTATCTCGGATATAGAGAAAAATACTGTTACAGTTGTGTGTTAACCTTTGTAAGTGACACAACAATCAGCATGAAAACTTCCTCTGTGGAAGATGCCTCTGTAACCCTTTACACCACCGCCCACGGGATGAGTATGGGGTGCATAATGGCTCTGTAACCCTTTACACCACCGCCCACGGGATGAGTATGGGGTGCATAATGAAGAACTTGAAATTGGAAGATGCTGAGACATTACAAGGTGATTTTAATAAACTCTTTAAATGGGCAATGGAAAATAACATGATGTTTAAGAGTGGTAAGCTCCAGTTTCGCCCTCAAAGGGCATGTCAACACTTGGAAATCGCCCACTTAAATGAATGAGGGGCTCCAGTAAAAGGAACAACAGGGGCTCAAGATGAAATAGAAATAAACTGGTGAAAATGAGCAACTTAAAATCAAATACAGGGTATATCTTGAGAGGTTATCTTGAGATGATGTTGGGGCTTAGCATCCCCGCGGCCCGGTCCTCGACCAGGCCTCCTTTTTGTTACACTCCCTCAGGAAGCAGCCCGTAGCAGCTGTCTAACTCCCAGGTACCTATTTACTGCTAGGTAACAGGGGCATAAGGGTGAAAGAAACACTTTGCCCATATGTCTCCGCCTCCACCGGGGATCGAACCCGGAACCTCAGGACTACGAATCCAGAGCGCTATTCACCCAGCTGTCAGGCGCCTGACAGGTACAGGACACAGACTTACATAGAAGGATTGCAACATGTAAAAGATCTGGGAATAATGATATCAACCTGAACTTTAGTAAATATAACTGAGCAAACAAATCGGCAGAGAGGAAAATGATGGGATGGGAACGTTCAAATCCATAGCTATTACAGCAATGCTTATACTATTTAAACACTGCTGTTGTTCCATCTTGAGTACTACTCAGTACTCACTGTCTCTTTCAAAGCAGGAGCAATTGCTGAAACAGAGGAAATACAGAGAACATATATGGCACGCATAGCCACGATAAGATGTCTAAATGATTGGGACCATCTCAAAGTTCTCAAAATGTACTCTCAAGAAAGGAGATGAGAGATATTAAATAATATATACATGGATGATACTGAAAGGGTAGGTCCCAAATTTACACAGTAGAATAACAACATGCTGGAGCGAAAGATATGGAAGGAAATGCACAACAGAACCAGTGAGGAGCACGATCAGAAAACACACTGAACATCGGAGGTCCACGGTTGCTCATTACCCTCTCAGCAAGCATTAGAAATATTGCTGGAACAAAGGTGGATGTATTCGAGAAGCATTTAGATATGTTCCTGCAAGAAGTGCCAGATCAACCAGGTTGTAATGGATATGTGGGCCTGTGGGCCGTTTCAAGCAACAGCCTGTTGGACCAAGTTATCACAAGTCGAGCCTGGCCTCAGGCCGGGCTCGGGGAGTAGAACTTCTGAAACTCTCTCTAGATATGCTCTAGGGAAGCTTCATGTTTGACAGCATGTAGTGTGTTATTGAACATCACCCATCTTACTCAGCATTATGTAAATAAGGCTCAATAACTCAGCATTATGTAAATAAGGCTCAATGTATAATTGGATAGTAATCTGTGAAAGAAATAGGCTTTGAGAAAAGGAGGCATGTCTAAACAGCATATTTCCCTGTAATATTGGCCATGTCAATGGAGTCTATCAATATGACTACGTACCCAGCAGACCTCTACATGTTTGTGTTCGTTAAAAATAAAATGCAGGCAAAAAGCTACAATAATGTGGTTGAAAGTTAGACACCCAACCTATAAATCTGATGACCAGACCACACACTAGAAGGTGAAGGGACGACGACGTTTTGGTCCGCCCTGGACCAATCTCAAGTCGATTGAGTAGTCGACAATTGACTTGAGAATGGTCCAGGACGGACCGCAACGTCGTCGTCCCTTCACCTTCTAGTGTGTGGTCTGGTCAACATACTTTGGCCACGTTATTGTGACTCATCGCCTGCCTATAAATCTGAATGCAGTATAAAGAACTGATAACATTTCGGTCCATCCTGAACCATTATCAAGTCGTGTAATTACTCCTCTACACAGTATTCTGATTTGTGGGTTACGTGTGTAAAATAAAACATGCCAATAATCCATTCAATTAAAAACATAAATGTAATAATTTGCAGACAGTTTAGTTTTATTATGTATATCAATTCCTTTAACCCTCCATGATAATGACAAATTACATATAAAAGACTGGAAACAAAGAGACATAAATAAAATAAAAGGTGCACAATGATTACCAACAATTAATTAAAGTATCATCATAAATTATATAAATGCAAAGGTGAGGCAAATCTCATGTTGTTGTGGAGAAAATATTTGTAGAGCCTTCAAGTACATGGATGAAATAAAGCAAAATAAATTATTCCCAACGTGCGGGTTAGACATGAACGGAACACACAGCTGTACTATAGTATCTGCATCAAGAAAAATTACATTGAGGAAAGAAGAACTGACTCCTGAAGACATTAAAACAAAAATGAATTCCAGAAAGGGGGAAAAAGTAATTTTCCAACGAGGACCGTACGAGCGGCACACGATGACGGTACAATGTGTTCCGAGGATCTCTCTCAATTTCCTCCGGATTGAAGGCACTAGAAATGCCCACATTGGAAGCAGGAAGAAACTGGGAGACATGCTCGGAACAAATCATACCACAGTACTGTGTCATCATGTGATGCGCGTACAGTCCACAATGGAAAATTACTTTAAAAGCAGCATAGAATAGACCACAGTAAGTTGTTTTTTCCCTGAGTGGCAAATAGTTGATATAAGCTCTAGGACAAGCTTAAGAAAAAAAAAAAAAAATCCTTTGAAACTTTACAAATATTTAGGAGAAAAAAAAAACTAGCAACAACACAGTGCTTCATATCAGTATACTAACTGCTTCTCTGTTGCCTTTTATAAATAACAATTATGTATACAATTCAATATATTATTTGACATGCATTGACATTTTTGTAGCAGTTCTATGCCTTTGTAAAAATAATGAATGAGTGCGGCCGGTATACTAGTACTGTACGCGTAGCAATTTGTAATGCTGCACGACAGCATTACAAATAACGTTGAGCTCCCCGCCTCATGCAAATTCTAATACGCCAATTTCCCTCAAGTCTCTGCATATATTTAACCAAAACGAAGCAGCAAGTCAAATGTTCGTCACCACTAGCCATTCAAAAGGCAACATACGGAGCATGTCAGTCAGGCGTGGACACCATGTTGGTATTACTGGATATGGAAATTATAAAACGCAACAAAAACGCAGTTTCTTCAACGCGAGTCTCCAACAATATAGCAGTAAACCAAACAGTGGAAAACATGAAAGGAACGATCACCTGATACTTGCTCTTAAACCAAGAGCAGCCTGGTGAATAAATCACTGTGTTGTCAACAAGAATCCAAAGATATAGTTACAAAAAGTAACAAAATAAATTATTAGCAACAAAAAATGCTTTTCACAAACACTTGAAGATGGCACCATTCACCCTTGGTTCTTGAGGTGACAATATGACAGATGGTATGTAATCACTGTGTATTACGGCCCACCAATCCCCTCCTCTCCATAGGTATTATCAAGCTTGGCTGCCATATACTGTACTGCATTACAAATGTAGTTTTAATGCAATACAATGGCAACCAACATTGAAAAATGCAAAGAAATATGTATAAAACTCCATATAAAAGATCCATATTGTCCCGCGCCATTCACTGTCTTTGCCTCAACTACTGAGCCTTCAAGAAACTGTGACAAATCCACACTTTATTTTGTTTTTTTCCATCATCTAAATGACATGCTTATAAGTAGTGAAGGAAAAGGAGAATTATAATGGTTGAGACTCTAACTTTAGAGGACGAGCCTGAAGAGATAGAAGACGACAGCATGCAACTGTAGGTGGCAGTCAAATGATTGCTTTGGTGGTCACTTGTAATGTTTCTCTAAAGTGTGACAACAAGACAAACTTGTAATGTTTCTCTAAAGTGTGACAACAAGACAAACTTGTAATGTTTCTCTAAAGTGTGACAACAAGACAAACTTGTAATGTTTCTCTAAAGTGTGACAACAAAAGTAACCACAAACTTGTAATGTTTCTCTAAAGTGTGACAACAAAAGTAACCACAAACTTGTAATGTTTCTCTAAAGTGTGACAACAAAAGCAACCACAAACTTGTAATGTTTCTCTAAAGTGTGACAACAAGAGCAACCACAAACTTGTAATGTTTCTCTAAAGTGTGACAACAAAAGCAACCACAAACTCCACTAATACTCACAACTTGACTTAAAGTGCTAGCCAGACATGTAAGTACTCTTGCCTCTTTACGCTTTACTTTACTTCTTCTTCTGTCTACTTATATGCACTTTTATATTGCCAATATTTTGAGATGCAGACAATCAAGAGTGACAACAGATGGAGTGGACAGGTTAAAGTCAGTAAATGTTGTATGGTAACCGTATCAAATTTCCCCCCAAAAATCATCTTTTAAATAAAAGCAAATATCAAACATTTTAATCCATGGTTATTCAAGAAAGTAATGAAATTTGTCTGCAATTATCCCCCCCTATTACGTAGTGTGTCAGGAATGATTTACACAGCACAAAACCTATAGGAAAATTTCCTGCTAAACACCTCGTTAACTATGGAGACTATAAAAATGTGTCGCACAGGGAGGTTACCCAGCGGGCAAACGTGCTCGACTAACAGTTGATCAACACAGGATCAAAATTATCAATGTTGATTTGCCCGAGGGTATTGAGAACAACACAGGCTGGAGGATCAATCAATCCCTCAACCTGGTCATCAATCTAGTACAGTTATCCGGACACTTGTGCGGACTGCACGCTGGCTAACGTGCCTCTGGAGTGAAATAACGCACATTTATCACATGCATTCATTAATGAAATTTGTATTAAAACTGCCTCAATGTATATATAAACTGTTTACATTGGGTCAAAACAATAAAGAGGTGGTAAAAGGAGTGCTCCTGGCACCACTTGTGCAGGGGACTGCTGGGAGGTAGATTAATTCTCACATCTCCACACACAGCTTTAAAAATATTTTCTTCCAATACTTTGACTGCCTGCAAGACGCATGGTAATTCCCATACTAAGAAAGCGTAACTATCCATGCATAGGGTTTCTTCCACGGATTGTCCTGTTTTCTGTGTTCTCATTTGTTTTCTATTCCTTTTTACCTTTATCGATTTTCAATCTCTCACCACCAATGGTTTTTATTATTGCTTTAACTGCAGGGGCGTAGAGCGGCCAGCCAGCGAACACCACGTGTCCGGAGAAGTAGAGAGAAGTGTAGAAACTCCACCACCTGAAATCATTTCCAAATGCAATAAGTAACACGTACGAGGCTCAAATAGTATATACCGTAATTTATTAACATTGTTTTGTAATGATGATATACGCAATTCAAATCAAACACACATCGTGCCAAAAACTGTAAGCACATTCAATACGGTTTCGAAAACTGACAACACTTGAGCTCGGCGTATGGATAAACACTTTAGAATTAAGAATAAAAGTGGAGTTTACGTCAGATACGTTACTGCTTTCCATTTTCATGGGATTGGAAAGCATTCAGTCTTTATTGAGACAATATTTTTTAATAGTTCATTATGCACACATAAGTATAGTATTGCACTCTATACCACATCATACACACTAGTAAGTAATTCATATAAACTAACACTGAATACAATGAAACACAAATTTGTAGGTGAACTGTTTGTCTCCCCTACGTGCTGAGATGGTACCATCTACTAGGTCGCACCAGCCATCGAGTTCTATAGGCACACTAGATACCCGCGCCAGAGACTGGCACACTCACAGAGGCACATTGAGCGGTGACATATATGTTCACCCCCATCCTTTCCATCCTCACCGGGGAATGCAACCAGAAAATCAGCAACACACCACCGCTGGTCTCAAGAAACACCGAAGCTTTGAAACCCACCTAAAGAACTCTCCAACTATGTAAACAAATGATCAAATTCTCTTGGAATTAGCATGAGCTCATTCGTCACACCTGCCCCACTTGTTTGGCGGGTGTGGAAAAAATATATCTAACCATGTCCCTTTATAGGCAACAGAAACAAATGGCAGAACATCTTAAATGCTCCACTCTATCTCAAGTATGACAAAGATGGCTATGCACAGAAATAGAAATGACTGCGTTAAAGATGCAAGAATCATATAAAATCCAGGAGAGACAAAGAGTAAAAGGACCACAAGTGAAATAGAGGGGAGGATCCAAATTTTTTTTTTTCCTAAGCAAAATTTAGAAGAAAATCTACATCCTGCATTGGATGGAACATTCACAGATGACAACAAAGAAATGAGTGAAATACTGAGGTAACAGTACGATCCAGTTTTCAGTTAATGCCTTAACGCGTTGCAGATCAATGATTCAAACGAATTCTTAATGAACGTGACACTACCATCGATCCATATGTCAGATGCTACCCTAACCCTACAGAACTCTGAAGTAGCCATAGACATGCACTCTGCACCAGGCCCAGATTCCTGAAATTCTATATTCAAGAACTGCAAAAACATCACAGGACCTAAACATCTTTTGGAGATGGAGCCTATATAATCTTCTTGAGGTTATCTTGAGATGATTTCGGGGTGTTTTAGTGTCCCCGCGGCCCGATCCTTGACCAGGCCTCCACCCCCAAGAAGCAGCCCGTGACAGCTGACTAACACCCATGGACTTATTTTACTGCTAGTTAACAGGGGCATAGGGGTGAAAGAAACTCTGCCCCTTGTTTCTCGCCGGCGCCTGGGATCGATCCCAGGACCACAGGATCACAATTCCAGCGTGCTGTCCGCTCGGCCGACCGGCTCCCTAGAATGGAGTTATCCCTGACATACTTCAAGCAGCAGAGATCATGCCACTTCACAAATGAGGTAGTAAAGCAGATGCAAAAAATTATACACCTATAGAAAAATTATAGCTCCCCTCTAATAGAGGGGAGCTGATCGGCCGAGCGGACAGCACACTGGACTTGTGATCCTGTGGTCCCGGGTTCGATCCCGGGTGCCAGCGAGAAACGATGGGCAGAGTTTCTTTCACCTTATGCCCCTGTTACCTAGCAGTAAATAGGTATCTGGGAGTTAGTCAGCTGTCACGGGCTGCTTCCTGGGGGGGTGGAGGCCTGGTCGAGGACCGGGCCGCGGGGACACTAAAAAAGCCCCGAAATCAACTCAATATAACATTGCATATTATAAAAATGTTTGAAAGAGAGTACCAAGAAGTAAGATCACAAAAACACATGAATCAGTGTGTACAAAACCCTGGACAATGCTGGTGCAGAACAGGGCGCTCCTGCCTCTCACAGTTGCTAGACCACTATGGCATAGTCTTAGATATCATGGAAGACAAACAAAATGTTAATGTAATATACAGTACAGGACATATATTTCTCAAATCTTTCGACAAATGTGACCATGGAGGTGACCATTATCCCCGGTGGAAATAAATGGTAAGAGTTTCTTTCATCCTGATGCCCCTTTTCACCTAGTAGTAAATAAGTACCTGGGAGTTAGACAGCTGCTACGGGCTGCTTCCTGGGGATGTGTAACTAAAAGGAGGCCTGGTTGAGGACCGGGCCATGAGGACGCTAAGCCCCGAAATCATCTCAAGATAACCTCAAGAAGGTGTTATTGCACACACAAAAGGAACTATTGTTCAAGCAGGGAGAAGGATCTTTAAGTTCCTAACAAACAGAACCCAGAGTGTAATAGTCAACAAAGTCAAATCTCAATCAACCACTGTGAAAAGCTCAAGTCCCCCAGGTACTGAACTATCAACCACTGTGAAAAGCTCAAGTCCCCCAGGTACTGAACTATCAACCACTGTGAAAAGCTCAAGTCCCCCAGGTACTGAACTATCAACCACTGTGAAAAGCTCAAGTCCCCCAGGGTACTGAACTATCAACCACTGTGAAAAGCTCAAGTCCCCCAGGGTACTGAACTATCAACCACTGTGAAAAGCTCAAGTCCCCCAGGTACTGAACTATCAACCACTGTGAAAAGCTCAAGTCCCCCAGGGTACTGAACTATCAACCACTGTGAAAAGCTCAAGTCCCCCAGGTACTGAACTTGCTTCGGTACCTTTCCTCATCCTCATATCAAACATAGAGAAGAGTACAAACTGGAGTTCGTTATCAACCTTTGCTAGGATTTTTATGAGTAGACAATATAGAGGACACAGCAAACTTCCAATCACATCTTTTAATGGGCCACAGAAAATTCCATGATGTTTAATGAGGATAAGTTCCAATTACTGTACTGCACTATGGAAAAAAACAAAAACATCGGAACAGAAACCACTTATGAAACACAGTCAAACCTCACTATTGAAAGAAAAAGCCATGTCAAAAATTTAGAAGCAATGCTGTTGGAAGACCTTTTTTTTTTAAAGAACACAACAAAATAGACAAACTTTCAAAGAACACAACACTGTGCCAGAGGTGCCATAGTCACAATCAAAGAACACTATAAACATCAGAGGTCCAGTGAAGAACAGATGTGCCATAGTCACAATCAGAGAACACTGTATAAACCTCAGAGGTCCAGTGAAGAGCAGAGGTACCATAGTCACAATCAGAGAACACTGTATAAACATCAGAGGTCCACGGTTGTTCAACACCCTCCCAGCGAGCATAAGAAATATTGCCGGAACAACCATGGACATCTTCAAGATAAAACTAGATCATTTTCTCCAAGGACCAACTGGGCTGTGGTGGATATGTGAGCCTGCAGGCTGCTGCAAGCAACAGCCTGGTGGACCAAAGTCTCACAAGTCAAGCCTGACCTCGGGCCGGGCTTTGGGAGTAAAAGACCTCCCAGAACCCCATCAAGCAGGCATCAATTTGCAGCACCCTATGTCACAACAACATCCATGAAAGGCTCTCAAACTCCAAGCAACAGCCTGGTGTACCAAACTCTCACAAGTCAAGCTTGGTCTTGGGCCGGGCATGGGGAGTAGAAGAACTCCCAGAACCCCATCAACCAGGTATCAACCAGGTATTAAAGTAGCCGTCACAACTGGAAAGCCTGTAAAATGATACATAAAAACAGGGGTTGTAGTGCCAATTTTATAAGTGCCAAAGTTCTGGTGGGCCTGACAAAAGCCTGTCATTTCCTATCCTGTTTCAATGTATGTCACACGATTATGTATTTCTCGTTTGTTCTTGCTAACTATCATAAAACTAGTGTTGAATGTAATGAAACGCCATTTTCTGGGTGAGACTCAGAGGCTCCCCGGAGCTATCCAGGCTGATTTGGATATATTAGCTTTCTGGCATCAGTCAATGTGCATGGAGTTCTTGTGTACCGGGGAACACGAGCCAGACCCTGGCCCCCTCAGAGAGGCATGAGGAGCAATGGTCTATAGAATTCCCCATGTGGTTTGGAGCATTCTGTCTGCCATCAACCAGGTCTGGCACCCAGAGAGATAAGCTCCCCAAAACAGACCCCTATTCTGGTGAAAATATTGCTACCAAAAGCCGAACGGGTGGACAAAACTCCCTAAACGAAAATTAGCAAACGAGCATAGCGTCATCACGTTGCCATACCTGTGTCTGCGCAACTCTCCTTCCCTCCCCGGGAGAGTGGGAGCCTCAGACCTTCGCACCAGCAATCCACCCTTCAGTTCTTAGCCTGGATGTCAAAATACGTGAAAAACACCGCCGACTGGAGGGAGGGAAGGTGCCTGGAAGCCTCCGGGTTACATCCAGAAAAATTGTGTTTCATTACATTCAGCACTGGTTTTCTGGGGAAAGCGCCATCGGCTCCTCGGAGCTAACTAATCAAAGACAAGGAAAAACAGGGACATACCCGGGCGGCAGCCAATCCTCACTCCTCAACGTGAGGTCGAGACAACTGGCTGCAACTGCCGACCCAATGCGACACAGGCTCTAGTAGGTCCAGCGACACTGACAAGGTAGCGAGTGGCCAGGACTTTGTTCGACCTCCAAAAACTCAATGCCCAAATGTCAACCCAAGACATGTTGCCAAAGACGGCAGCCAAAGCAGCAAACGTACGAACGTCACGAGCACGAGGATAGACCACAGGCTGGCTAGACTTAATAACCCTGCGGACGACCCGGGAGACCCGAGCAACTGGACACAAATAACGGCGGAGAGCCGCAACCGGACACAACACATGACACACCCTCTGACCAACCAAGCAACAACCACCCAAGGACCACTCCAGAAAGCAGCAGTCTCATTCTTCGCCAGAAAAGAAGGAGACGGCTGGAACCCAAACAAACCTACCACCAGGACCAAAAGAACAGGAAACCC